TCACACTGACTATCCATAATACTCAAGAGCCAAATGGTTACAAATGAAACACTTTTCCGAGCGGTGCCTGTTTCCAAAACCGGTCTCTGCCTCATTCCAACTTATTTAAAAGGAGGTAATGTTGTGGGATAAGCATCTATACCAGTGGTTGTCAACCATTTTAGACTCTAGGCACCCCTTTAACTTTTGTGAATTGAGCACCACCCTATTTCAAAAGCTAAATTTTTATTACATCCTTGAACAGAGGCCTGGTTGAAGAGGGTAAGGGCGGTGGGGAAGAAGCAAACAGGGATGAGAATACTTATGTCCTTGCAAAGGGGCTGGACAGTTCTGGGGGTGAATGGAAGAGCAGCAGCCAGGCAGAAATGGGCATGTCCTTACCACCTTGCACCGGGGAGGCTTTTAGGATGATGGGAAGGGAAGAGGAACAGCCAGGCAAAGATGGGCATGTACTTACCTCCTCACTCCCCACAGCACCCTTCAAAAGAATCTCACATCACCCCAGAGTGATGCAGCACCCCATCTGAGAATTACTAATCCATACTAACACCAGCAATCCTCTTCTCATCAGCCACTAAAGATGGCAAATGAAAAAGCACTCAGCAGCAGTCCAACCACAAGAAGTACATCTAATTGGCCTGGGTAGAGCTTTGTGTTAGTACAGCAAGCATTACTGCAGTACCCCAGGCAGATAAATAACTATTAGAAAGCGCTACTTTAATTCACTACCAGTGTGGAACAGGTTGAAACTCAACATGCAAATTAGAGTTTTCACATCTCACAGCTAAACCGCTAAATACTAAGGGATAGATTTAAAGATGAGAAGGTGGGGATTTGTTAGTCTTCAAAAACTAAAAGCACTGTTATAAACAGCATGCTAGTCAAATGACCTGTGTCCACAGGGGACAAGAAACAAAGAAGAAAAAGGGTTTAAATTGCAACATGGGAAAAGTGGGTTTAGAAGACTGTGTGGAAAAAAAATGCATAGAGATGTTGTGAAATCTCTATCACTGGAAGCTTTAAATACAGATCAGAAAAAAACCCTTTGTCTGAGATCATTTAGCAAGGTTTTTTTGGTTATATTTTTTACCTGACCAATAACACAGCTGAGAGAAATCCCAGACACTCTCAGGCACACAGGCCTGAGAACCATACTGTGCTCAAAAAGAGCATTTTGTATTTGAGAGCCCATCGTGAATCTTTTATTAGACCATTTGTATTATCAGAAGACAATCATCTAAAAAATCTTGCTCCTTTCCTGGACCATCAGCACTCCAATCCTACTACAGTAGTGAAATGGTTTAGATCAGTGTGTACAACCTTTCTAGGCTGTGGGCTGGATGAGCAGTAGAGGGTTGCCCCATGCCACAAGAGTGGATCAGGCCTACTGCCTAGCCCTGGTGCACCAACCCTATCCAGCTCATGGAGTCTTGTCATCTGTCCTGCCCCTTTGGCAACAGAGGAGCAGTGGCAGCATTAATTGCCACCATTCCCTTTGCCAAATTTTTGGACCTGTCGACCACTCTCCTTGCCAATTTTGTTCTTGGGCTGGATGACACAGCTCATTGGGTCAAATCTGGCATGTGCACTCAAGGTTGAGTACCACTGGTTTAGACAGAGATGGTGCTACCTTGAACTGGTTGGCGAGCGAGCTAAATGACCTCTCAAGGTCTGTTTCAATCATATTTTGCCTATGAAAAGAGCTATCCTACCACTTTATATCAGAACAAGTGGGAGAATAAGTGTGATGTGCACCTGTTCCTCCAACTGATATTAACAGAAGATACAGCAGCTCAACATTTCTTAAGAGAACAAAAATAAAAGACCAACACAGACAAGTGCTCAGCACCTAGCAGTTACCATTGTGAAAAGTCAGTATGATGAGCTCTTTTGAAAACCTGGCCATTTGTGCTGGCATGTAGGTAAACACCTAAAATCCTGAGTGATTTTGAAAAATAAAGCCGTAAATGGTTATACATCTTTGTAAACTGAAAATCACCTTTTCCTCTTAACTGTGATATAATTTAGGAGACTGAAATGTGTTTTCAACTTTCCACTTCTTTGAAAAAGCAGCAAGAGTTGAGAATTAAATGCATAAGTACCAAGGAAAATCATACGTCCTACCCATATCATGTTATCCTATTAGTTCAGTTCTAGTCCTAACCTCTTTCAGGAATTGAGAAATTCTTTTGAAGCTAAAACAAGACATCCACAGAATATAAGTTAAGTATTTTCATAGTTTCATAGTTTCTAGGGTCGGAAGGGACCTGAGTAGATCATCTAGTCCGACCCCCTGCCATGGCAGGAAAGAGTACTGGGGTCAAACGACCCCAGCAAGGTGTTCATCTAACCTTCTCTTAAAGACCCCCAGGGTAGGAGCCTGCACCACTTCTCTTGGAAGTTGGTTCCAGACCCTGGCCGCCCTGACCGTGAAGTAGTGCCTCCTGATATCTAGCTTAAACCTACCCTCTGCCAGCTTGTGACCGTTATTCCTGATCACTGCTGGCAGTGCTCGGGGGAACAGGGACCAGATCCAACCTTTTCAGAACAGGAAGCAATTTTGCTGTCAAAAACTCAACAGGTTATGCTCTATTACTAGTTACACCAGATATTCTACATTTTACCAAAAAAATACTGCAAACACTTCCCAAGAGATGTAGTGCTTACTAATAGGATTATCTTACCGCAGTTTTATAGGAGCAAGCAAAGTATCTGCTAGCATTTCCAGTATTGGGTCCTAACATTAAAAGATTCTTTTAAATTCTTGGTGGAAAGTAGAGTTATTACACTGATTTTCCACCAAAAGATTTCATATTTTATGCCTCTTCTAAATATTTGATGAAAGCTAAAATTTGAGAGGCACTGTAGAGTATAATTACGTTGGGTTTGTCCAGGAATCTTGTCTTCATTAACCATTGTCTATCCATACTTGAAACTGAAAGTGCGGGGGGGAGGGGGGAGGGGGAAGATCCAATTTTTTTTTGTAATTGATTTTAGCTTAGATGGGTTAGAGAAATTATGGGGAGAAGGGAGGAGAATGCTTATTAGTTTACTACATGTTCTTGGCACACCCACACCTGCACAAATTTTAAAGGCACCACTGTACTTGGAAAGCATCCTACATGTGTTATTGCAATCTACAGCCAACACCGCTATTACCTTTCTAACTTTAAAAGCAGACTCAAAAGTTGTCCAGGAAAACTTAGTGTAATGCCTCATGCACGGTTACATACTTCAGCAATTGCAAATTTTACTTTCTTTGCATCTTTAATAATTAAGAACTTTTATTTCATTTGAGAAAGGGAAGGGGAAAAAAAACTATACACTTATGACGTGCATCACAAAAACAAGCATGGGTTTAGTTATCAGATACTCTGTTAACCTTTAAGCAGCCACAGTAATCCTCCCAGTTTGTTGATAAGGAGATCTAAAGGTGGAGAAATGTATTTAACCAAAGGAATATTCTGATGGGGTAACTCAAATGGAATCCAGTTAAGCTTCTAATATAAATTGTCTGTTTTACTAAATTAGGTTTTAAGACTTTTTCAAGTTACAAGAACCAGAGGAGTTATTTTTTAGTCAGATAAAGAAAGGAAGCTTCTGAACATTGTGAAAAATTCAGGTTTTAATAGCAGTCTCTCTTTAGATGCATACTGCTTTTTGCACATATATTCAATAAAATAATAATCTAACACTGCAGAAGTAACTTTTAAAAAAACTGGGTAGAAGATATGAACTAAAATCTTAAAAAATATATTGACCAAATCTTTAAGTTTACACATCTAATATAAGAATACCATACTAAGAAGTAAGGTATCTTAGTTTTCAAGTTCTGACTTTTTGTTTTGATGTTCAATATTGCAATGAGTTAATTACTAAATGATTTTTATTATTATTTAAGGAAAAAATTCAGAAGCCTCAAACCAATTTAAATGCCTTTACTCAAGGTTAAACCAAGGAAACCCTGTAGGTGGAGGGTGTAGCTGATTTTTAAAAGGTAACTTTCAAAATCACTAGTTTAATTCCACAGTGCCCCCTACTGCAAGTCCATAAAACAACATCACAGTTATTTCCAAATTAGATATTTGATTTCATACTCTGCACACAAAAAATTTTAAATATCTAAATTTACATTTTATGCCATTTAGTTTGTTTCTTTTATGCAATTAAAATTAAGTGATTTGCTTAAAGCTACTCCTTAAAGTCATAGGTAGAAGTAACTACATGAAAGATCCCTTAAGTTTGGGGCAATATAGTAATTATCCATTAAATTCTATATACAGAATCAGTGAACCTTTATAGGTTTTGTTTCTAATAATTTTAATAGGACTAGCCAAGAAAGTAGTAAAAAAAAATTACCCCTGCACATCAAGGCTTACACTGAAAATGCTGCTGAAAAGTATTCTGTTCTTGGTTTGTATAATGAGGAAGACAGATTTTGAAGTCAATGCCTATTCATACTAGCCATCCCATTTTCAAAGTCAGTGGGCTATCTCCACAAGCAAAGGAAGGGAAATTTAGCCAAGTGTCCAGAAGAAAGTGGTGCATCTACTATAGCACATATCAGAATGCTGTCTAAAACCACCAGCTAGGTAACCTTTCAACCCTCCAGCTCGGTGCAAAGATAAGCAGACAAAAATTTGTGCAATCACATCACACAGACTGCAGCTACAGCCAGATCAAGGCACATTTCATCTTATCTTACCTATACTTAGCATAGATGTTAGTGACTGGTCACCAAGTCCTAGAAGACAAATACCATTATCCCACCACTACTCACCACCGTCCCTTCTCTCCCCAAAAAGCAGATGGGATAACTTAAGAGATCCAATGGCTAGCCATTAAGCGTCTGCAGCTCCAGATCTCTCTATTACTAACTGAGAAATATATCTTCCAAATACAGGTACCAGTTTCAGAATTAGTGAAGGATATAACAGCACATAGTAAGCTGCAATTCAGCACCAAAAAGTGAAGATATTCCAAACAGCTAATATACTTACCTACGAATGCCATCAAGAATATCATTCACAGCTGCCATCAATTTCTGTAGACCTAAGAAAGCTTCTTCAAATGATGTCTTTGCAATGGTGCTGATAATACTTGGGTTCAACTTCTGGAAAATGTCGATACTAACAAAGACAAAACACAGTGGAAACATTTAGTCACAAGAAGCCAGTAAGAACACTCCTGTTTTGCTTCCTGTTATGGAAAAGGAAAAGCGCTTCAGTACAACTCCACCACGTATTGTATTTTGACTAAGGGAAGAGAACACCACACTCTAGAAGGTCAAATACAGATAAGAGATACATCTGTGCAGTTCAAAACTACCAAACGTAGTAGAAAAATTTTATTTTGTTTGGGTAAATTTGTTTAATCAAAGGTGCTTAAAAAATACAGACCCCAGCAATTCCACAGTACCACAACAAAAAAGCATATTACAGAGAACCTTTTTTAAATAAATTAACACTGTGTGATAGCTATATAGTATCTTTCACTGCAGGTTTCAAATGAGTCTCAGAAAACTACCACTACACCTATTTTCATCCATGCATTTAATATGCACAATTTCAGATTTATACAAGCTAATGGTATGGCAGTGAATCCCATAAATAGCTTTTGGGCATCTTGATTAAAAATGAAACCCTGAATATATTTTTGTTCTAAGCCTACTAAGGGCAAGGATTTAGTTAAAATTAAAAAGAGAACTAATCAATGGGAGGGCCACACACCTTTGCATTTTCACCATTTTTTAAATTATTTGTATAATATAGTTTAAAAAAAGAATATAGCTTAAATTCTAAAAGACTTGGTTATAATAAATAACAGAAAAATGAGTCTGTAAGGAAAATAACCTCGTGCCTTATCTTAATCACTGATAAACTCTAAGACGATGATTTCTCAACCAAGGTGCTACAAAATCCTTTTAGCAGTGCTGTGGTGTACCAAGCAGTATTAGATGTGCATATACTTGCACATGACACAAAAAATAAACCCAGGGATTTCAAATAGGAATCTCTCATGTCAAAAACATTCTGACCTGCTGTGGTCTTCCTTAATTCTTTACAATGGAAGAATTACTCTATATTTCTGTAATCAAGAAATAAGTGAAAGCTAAAAGCCAGCGCTAGCACTAAATCAGTTTATTGAACTTCTGTCCCAGATGCCCTCCAGATTCAAGTCGACTCACGGTCCCACAGAATCCCAGAATGATTTGCATCTCCCCCGCAACCCCAACACCCCCCGCCCCACTCCAGTTGCAGGGTGGTGGGATAGCCTTGGCCCAAGCTGCCTGCTCCACCAAGCAGGAAGGCATGCTTTAGTGCCCCCCAGCTTCTGGCCTGGGCCACTGCAGGCTTGTGGCTGCATTTCTGGAATCAAAAAGTAACTGAATGTCTGCTCACTTGCTTATCAGTTCAAACGATGCAGCTTAGATCACTATTTCCCAACCAGTGTGCTGCAGCACACAAGCGTGCCATCAGAAATGAACAGGTGTGCCACGGAATTTTGCTGTGGCAATGAGCTACAATAGGTATGAGGATAGGGAATGTCTTAACAGGCGTGTTGTGAAAATTTTTTATTAATGTAAGCATGCCTTGGGCTGGAAAACGTTGGAAAACACTGGCTTTGACTAACCTGCAAAGATCAAATTGATTCAGCCTCAGGCTTTTTGACTGCCTGTACTTACTCTATAATCAATGTATACATAGCAAAGAGCGACAATATCCAAACACATGCATGGGGGGACATGTAGGACTAACAGCATGTTAAATCTGAACTCTTTCAGCATGTCCTACCTGTACAGGTTTATCGTATTCCAAACACTTTCAAGCACAGACCAGATTTCTAGATGTCTGTTATCTCGGGCCAGCTGGGCATCTGACAATGATTTGCCTTCTTCACAAGTCTGCTGGTGTAGTGTCACATCTTCCATTTTTTCACATGCAGCATTCTCTGAAACTTCTTCAGGGGCTTCTGATTTATGGTTATGGTCTGACCCATCCTTATGAAAAAGATATTAATAAAAGAGATGCCATAAGGAGCTAATTATTCTAAGTGTTTTTACACAGGCTTTCAGACAAGTGCTGAGAATCTCTGACAATTATAAACTAGGGCTGTTCAAAATCTAGACAGTGGGGGGCTGCACAACCTATAAGCTGCAGAACCTTAAGCCACACACCTGGTGGGTCCTCCCTCAAATCCCACCTGCAACTGCACAAGCAGCCCAGCCCTCCCCCACTGCATGAACAGCACAGTCAGCCTGACTCCCCTCTGTTGTACAGATACAGCAGTCTCCCTTTTGGTCACACATGCAGCATGGGCAAACTGGCTGCCCTCTAGCTGCAGGCAGTGCAAACAACCCAGCTCTCTCCTCACCATGTGGGCAGCATGACTAACTCAGCCCTTTCTTCACTGTGCAGGCAGAGTGACCAGGCTGGCTCCTTTCCATTGCATAAGTAACACAGCTTCCCTCCTGGCCTCAGGCAAACTGGCCCCTCTTGCAATACGGGCAGCCTAGATTTCTCCCTGCTATTCATGTAGCACCCTCCTGTGGCCCCGCCCTCCACAAGCAGGAGGAGAGACTGGAGATTCCAGCCACCACTGCAACAGTAGGAGCAGGGGTGAGAGGGTGGGAGCCAATATGCATTTTATAATACTTGGAAAGTGCCCCATATTCCATGCAAAATGCTACATTGAAACAATACCCATGACAGGAAAATCTCCCCCCTTTCCCCCACCTGTAAAAATGTAAACATCAAGTCAATGAATACAACTTGCTCAGTATTATAGCTTGCCGTGATCAAACCTAGGAACAGAAACCCTACAATTCTAAAATCTATTACTTCCAACTAATGACAAATTCACAGATTCATAGATGTTAGAGTCAGAAGGGACCTCGACAAATCGAGACTGACCCCCTGCCTAGATAGGAAAGAGTGCTGGGGTCAGATAACCCCATCCAGATGCCTATCCAGCCTTCTCTTAAAGACCCCCAAAGCAAAGGAGAGCACCACCTCCCTTGGAAGCCTATTCCACATGTGAGAAAAATCTGACTAAGAGATATGAAACTGAAAACCTGAGGTCAATTGATAGAATCTGAGCAGACACTTAGAGGGCCTTCTGTCCAAAGCTACAGTCTGACCTACTGTCCATATGGAAGAGCAGTAACAACAGTCAAGAGAAAAAAAATGCCCTTTCTTCCTGTTTTACATGAAACTAAAGGTGGAGGGAAAGGTCAAGAGAAAAAGACAAGCTACTCTTTTGTCTTTTCCCATTTTGAAGCTAGGATTTGAATTGCATTTAATTACCCCTCCATAACAAACATAGATTTGGTGAGTAAATCACTGTGTTATCTCAACACTGAGTTCCTGTCCGAACACTTCATTTTAATAAGCTACAGCAGTTTTATTGAGTGTACTGCTGCAGTTAGTTCTACAAGAAAGGGAAGGAATATTGATATCCTAGCTGAACAGCAGCTATCAAACTAATTTTCTTCCCAAATGTCAAAGTTAAATTCACTTTTTAAGAGAGTACATACACACCAGCAGACTCTCCCTATGCCTGGAGAAGGGTGTTTGTGCCTGAAAGCTTGTAAAGAACAATTTTTCCAACTATTTACACTTTGTCTAACAAGGATACCAGATTTACCCTGTCACAGAACGGCAGGCTGCATGCGCCAGCTCTGCCGTGGATGGGTTCTGGGTAGCGTGGCAGGATCCTGAAGCGACAGAATGCCCAGTAAGGGCAGAAAATGGCCAGTACTTACCTGCAGGTGTGCAGCCAACAAAGATGGAGCAGCAAGCTGTGCCATTGCTGCAGTTTATAAGCACCTGCTCGCTGAGGCTTCAGGGATATGCAGAACATGACATCACAGGTCTGCACCCTTTGACATGTACAAAAAAGCAAGTGGAGCCAATCAGCAGGAGAGAGGAGAAGAGCACACCTACATTCCACGCTTCAACTAGGATAGTGGTAAGAAACTGTGCTGGTTCCCCAGGTTGGAGACCCAGAGGGGTCTCCAGCCACCTGGGCAATCCAGGGAAAAAGGGCATGGAAAGAGGCCTTTTTTGGACCCCAACACCCTGACACCAGAAAAATGTAGCACCAATAGGAGGTCCATGCCAGGGCACAATGAGGGTGCAGGCACTTGCTTAAATAGGTTATTCTGATTTATCCATCAAGACTGATTTGAAAGACATAGCCTTCTAAAGTGGGTAAGGAGCCTCGGCTCTAAGGGAGAGCAGGGCTCTGAATATTGGATACAAATGGGGAATTAGTTGAAGCTAAAAAGGCTGAACCATCCCAGAGCTGATTGGGAGAATGGTGCCAGAGGGGAACTCGCTATGAACTGACACCAAATTTGATTTATTTAAGAAGATAAAGTGCTTGATTAATTCATCTATTTATTTGATTGTTTATCTGTTCATGTGAGCCTATGAATTAATTAGAGCTCCATGCACTTGAGAACTCCTGCAGACTAAGGATGAACTGTTAATCACATACAACCTGTATAATGCCTAGGCAGGGCTAACTGTATTTGAAGGCCCTCAAAAACTGTTGACGGAATCCCAGAGTAGCTTACAGGTCTGACAACCAACTAATTTAAAGGGGGCCAAGAAGATCAGACTTTATCCATCATCAACAATAGAACTCTGTGGGTGAGTGGATGGGGTGTAGGGAAGGAAGAGCCCCAAAAGGCACCAATGACAGAATCATGATCACAGACTGTCTGTATCAGACTAGGAACCCTCCCTTTTACTTAAGATCAAGACATGGCTGACGAGCTGAGGGAGACAATCTGTAGACAGACCACTCAATGTACCTTAACACTTGAGCAAGGAGGGCACCAAGCCAGGGCGGTATGATTCCAAATAGCAAAACGTCTCCTGTTCTGGCATAACCGGGTGAAGTGGTACATCAAAGCTTTTGAGCATGCAGCAATACAGGTCAGGTTGGAGATAGCATACTGGGCCAACCAGCTAGGGGCCCTAGTGATCAGAAAAGCCCAGACCGCACATAGAGACTTGTCCAGGCACATAGAGACTTGTTCATCCAGGGATGAAGCACAAGCTTATGAAAAAGTGAAGGCCGCCATCCTATATAGACCAAAGATCACTCCTAAACATTATCGGCGCTTGTTCCAGGCCAAAAAGAACCACAAGGATGGAAGACTGCAGGTTCTCATGCAGCTCTTGAAAGACCTAATGAGCAAGTCGTTATGTCCAGTGCTGTACGACAGAGAAAGCTTGGCTGACCAGATCCTGCTGGAACAGTTTCTAAGTGATCTCAAGAACAATATTTAGCATTAGGTGAGGTATCATTTGTTCCAGTATTGTAAAGATGCACTGGGGCTAGCAAAGGCTTTTGCTGTGTCCAAAGGAGAATACACCAGGAACCAGATTTATTAAAACACCAGGACCAGCAGTTCATGGAAAGTGAAAAGACATGACCCGAACAGAGGAGGACCTCTGGAGGTGGTATGTTACAAATGTGGCAGGATAAGACATACAGCAAACGAATGCTGTGGTAGCCTGGTAGATCAATGGAAACCAGGGATCCGTGGCGATGCAGAGGAGGTGCACGTGCACCTTGTGAGAACGCTGGTTGCAACACATCAGGCCGCACTCCCCATTTAGCCGGCAGGCAAGGGGACAGGTGGGAGCACCAACGCCCACCCTTTCCCCCACAAGCACCAGCTGGGGAGCAGGACTGCCAGCAAAAGCAGCCGTGCTGCCTCCGGAAGTGGCCGCGGGACTTCTGGAAGCAACACCGATGCAGGAAGCACCTCCCACCCCCCACCCCCAGCCAGTGGCATTGGCCTGGTCGCTGACTGGTGTCTGACTCAAGAGGCACCAGTCACCCATGCCAAGGATGGTTATCTGGAACCCTTAAGAGATGCTGAAGTAAAGCGAGGCCATCACAGCATGGACTGCAGCCACAGCTGTAGTGGAGACGACAACAGATAGAGTCATGCAGTAGTGACAGCATGGGTGGAGGGACAACAGGTCAAAGCCACTCTCAATATCAGCTGTTCCCAGTCACTGATCCGAGCAGATTTCGTGCCACAACAGGTAATGTGAGCAACAAAACCCATAAAGATGACTTGGCATCCACGGCAAATCAATATAGTACAACAGAAATTTCATCCCAGTGAAGGTCATGAAGTACCAAGGACAGTTGCGAATTGAGATAGTACCTCAGTTGGCTTGTGAAATGATTCTGGGGTGAGATTGGCCACCTATATATGATGTCCTGGAGAGGATTAAAGAAGCTGAGGTAGAACATCACCATTTGCAGAACAATGACAGGTGGCTTGGGGAGGCTAAGGATAATGTCCCAACCATGGCTGAGGAAGAGTTGACTTGGAGAATATCATAAGCAGAGCCCAATTCCAAAAGGCAAAGGAGGAAAATGAAGAACTCCAGCAGATCTGGTGGGATGAGGTTACCCAGGTTGATGGGGAAGAGGTGCATCAAATCCTGCATACCTGAGACCCTCATTAAGAAGTAAGACAGAATCTCTTGTACTGGGTAAAAGGGGAGTCCAAGGTGGGGACAGAAGTTGCCCAGCTTATGGTATCTGCCCAGTTTTGGAGGGTTTTATGGAAACTTGGCCTCCCGTGGGCATACCATGTGCATCTGAGACGCAACAAAATGGTCACCAAGATTACTCTACAGTTCTTCTGGCTGGGGCTATACGAGAATATGGTTTACACATCGCCTGCCCAGCATGCCAGCGGGTTAAAAAGATTGGACCACCCCATGCGCCTCCTCAGACTATGCCTATTAGAGAGACCCCCTTTGCCTGTGTTGCCAAGGATGTGGTGGGCCCTCTCTTTAAAATCAATGGTGGCCACAAGTACATCTTAGCGTTTATTGACTATGCTATCCGTTACCCTAATGCTATACCACTCAGGCCACTAACAGCCCGGCCCTTGCATCACAGAAGAGTTATTGAGGTACATCACATAAGTGGGCATTCCTAAGGAGATACTGACCAACC